AATCAGCCTTAGACTCCCAATCCATAAAGTGGATTAACAGCTAGCCACACTAACCGGTGCTTGTGGGGATTATGCAGGATAAAGAATGTGGATGAGCTCTCTCCACAATCAAGTTCCCAACAAAAGAGATGAGCGAGCTATGGCAGCTAGGAAGGGCTGGAGGGGAGACACTTGAGTTTAAAAAGAAAACAAAAACAAAACAAAACAAAACAAAAAAACAAACAAAAAAGAAAACAACCCCCAACCCCCTCTCCTGAGGGCTTCAGTTGGACAACGGAGCGCTCCGTGCTGCCTTTGCAGCGTGTGGATGGATTTTACTCCCTCTGCCATTAGGCAGGCCTCTGCGAAGCTTCCAAACTCAGGTCACACAAGCAGGATGATGCTGATTCATCCACCTCCTTTTGGGATTAGGAGTTCCGGTTTCCACACTCAGCTAGAATCCTGGCCGGTTGTTTAACTTTTCTGTTTCTTAGTTTTACTCAGTCGTTGAGTGGGGCCTGTTACCAGCCTTATTTACCTGGAAGATCTTTATGAGAATGAGATTAAATTTTGTTTTCTTTTAGCATAAATATATGCATTGCTTATTATCATTAGCCTAGAGTTTTAGCATAACTCCTGCATATTCTGAAGTTTTATCATTTACAATCAGCCCAGGCTGATTGTGATTCCCTGATGCTTTTTTTTTGTTTTTTTCCTCTTCATAAACTTTTAATTTTGGAATACTTCTAGATTTCCGGAAAAATTTCCAAAGATAATAGACAGAATTCTCATATGTTCTTCACCTAGTTTCTTCTAATTCTTCTCTTAACACCTAACATAACTATGGTCCATTGTAAAAACTAAGAAGTCAATATTGGTACATTAATATTAATACACTATAGATTGATTCAGATTTCACCAGTTTTTCTACTAATGTCCTTTTTCTCCTTCAGGACTCAATCCAGGAGACCACACTGTGCTTCGTCATCATGTCTCCTTAGTCTACTCTGGCCTGTGTTGCTTTCTTAGTTTTTCCTCATCTTTCATGCACTGGCAGTTTGAGGAGGACTGTGTAGGTCTTAGGTAGACCATCCCTCCATCTGGTTGTGTCTGACTTTTTCTTTTTCCTTAGGATTGGATCCGGGTTATGGATTTGGGGGAAGAGTCAATTGCTCGTCTCACCATACAATGTCACAAGTGCATGCCATCAACACAACTTACTACCGGTGATATTCACCTTATGCACCTGGTTAAGCGGGGATCTGCCAGATTGCTCCAAAGTACAGTAACTGTTTTCCCTTTCAATGCTTTGTCCTTTAAAATAAAAGAAAATCACTGAGTCCAACCCACACTCAAGGGAAGGGGGAAGAATCTACATACATTAGTAAGAAAGAATGGTCTCTTTGATCCTATTTATGGATCCGTTTAATCATTTATTTATATCATTTTGGACTTCTGTTTAATTATTTTATACTTTGGGTTATAATCCAGTACTACATCATTTGTTTTGTTGCTCAAATTGCTCCAGCTTTGGCTATTAGGTACTCTTTCAGTTAGGTCCTTCCAGTGTCCCTTTGGCATAACCCCACAGTCCTGGGGTGTTCTGTTTTTGTTTTCAATTGGGCACCTTCTCACTTTCTAGCCCTGAAAGATGCTCCAGGCTCATCTTAGATATTCACTGAACCAGTCCTAGAATCTATCATTAGTCCAAGGACTCTGCTTCCTTCTACTGGAAAATGGTATTAGAAACCAAGAACTGGATGTGGGGTCTACTTGTTGTTACTAGCTAAGGCTGATTTTTATCCAAATAAAATAAATGAAAATGTTTAAAGTCAGAGAAATATGGGTTTTCACTAGCTGTGTTACTTTGGGCAAGTTACTTTCCCATGTTGGGTTTCCATTTCCTCATCTGTGTGTAAGGATAAGAAAAAGGATGTAAAAGGCTGTTATGGGGTCAAGTGGTATAACATTGAAGGAGCTTCCTGTTTCTGATAATAAAGAATCAGATTTTTTCCCCTCAACTGTTCTGCTGAAAACAACTAAAATTTTTAGAGAAAATATAGGAATCCTCTTCAAAGTACCAATGATCTGGCAAAATAATAATGGCAAAAATTATGGAAAGGTAGGAAACAAAGAAAATAAACAAGTAGAAATTTGCATTCCCTCTGAAGGCATTTGCCATTTTCAGCAATGTTGAGTTTTCACTTTGACAGCTTCATGGTGTCTGGGGTGGCAGTAGGGGTGATGATAGTCAACATCAGGGCCAGCAAATAGGCAAGAAATTTAATAGAGACCCTTGCTACAATGAGCTGGATACCAAACAGCTATGACCTTGGGGGAGGGTGAAGGACTTACTGCTCTGATTTAAACTCTCTGAGTCTTACAGGAAACCTCAAGTCTTGAGTTTGGTTTAAGTTGGTCTTAAACTGAAGGCACCTTCAGATGCTTTATAAGGGAAAGAAAGTGCTTTCAATTTGGCCTTCATGTAAATCTCACAAAACATTTTTCAAAAACAATGACCAGCACATATTAAAAGATAACTATACACAAAGCAGAAATACTAGGCAAAAAGAAATAGACTGGTAAAGTCTTAAGATATTTGTATTATTAGCTATAGACTATCAAATAACTATGCTTCAATGCCTAAAGAAATCAAAGACAAAACTGAATATATCTTTAGGGGATAAGAAACTAAAAAGTTATATAGATGATATAAAACAGAAAATAAAAAAATATTTTTTAAGATAAAAATCCCAACAAACAGGATAAAAAAGTTAGGGGATGAATTAACCAGTATATTAGATGCACCTAAAGAAAGAAAGAATCAGTAAAATTGCAGAATTCTCATGTGAAAGCATCTAGGTTAATTTCAGTAATTCAGTCAACCCTGTCCCCTTTTCACCCATTCACAAGCCGACTCCTGTTAAGCACCTCTAGTTGGCCAAGGGTCCCAGACATTTTAGTGAAAAGAAGCTATTAATAACACTTCTGAAACCTTGAAATCCTTTCACAGGGGCGTGGCAGAAGTGGGAAGGGAAACATTTGTGCCAAGTAAACTACATTCTTCCCTCTGGGAATACTGAGAGAGCCCAGAGGAGGGGTGACTGCTCATGGCTGGCAGCACTGAGATCTGCAAAAGAAGGCCTTGAGATGTCCTATAGTTCTCAACAACCCACGTCTAGCCCCACAGATAGTTTGTTCCAAAGCGTCTGACTGCTTCCTGCTTATCTCCCAGGCTGCTACAAGTATCTAGTAAATGAAAAGTGTGGCAAGCATATTGCACTAATACAATACAAAAGCACTTCAGTGTTGTATATGAAAGTTGGTTTCTTTTACTCAGCATTCTTTTGATGTATTATTTATCTCATTTATATCACTGGAATACCTAATCTCATGGATTTAAAATCTTTCTTCATGTAGTTTTTTTTTTTTTTTTTTTTTTTTTTTTTTTAATCAAAGCATTTTTTTTTCCTCTCCCCAAAGTGGGCATTTTCTTTCTGGAAGGTTGTCAGTGTCCAAAGGTAGCTGCTGTCAATTTTTTCCTTCCCCACAAAGGGTTTCTTCTGCACACCAGGGTGCGTGCTGCACCTCACAATGAGAGGTGAAGTCTCTTCTCTTGCCCAAATCCATGCTGGCCTTGAGGCTCTCTTGGGCCAACAGAATGCAGCTGAAGTAACACTATGTTAGCAGTGGCCAAGCCTTGAGATGACTGGCATCTTCCACTTCCTCTCCTGAAGCCAGGCATCACGTAAAACAGTATGCCCTCCTGACACTATTGTACTGTGAGGAAGTCCACATTTGCCCAGCAGCCCCTAGATGATCCTGCCACCTCAGCTGAGGTGACCACCGTGAGGGTGAAGAAGCCACCTTCACAGCCCCAGCAGACACCTCAGGCAGCAGGAGAACCATCCAGCTGAGCCACGTTCGGATGCAGAATCCTGAGAAATAATAACTGGCTGTTCTAAGCCACTAAGTTTTGGGGTCATTTATTACATAGCAACAGATAACCAAAACATCTTTCCACATGCTTTTCTTCATAATCATTGTTCCCTGAAAAGGAAAAAGACTCTTCAAGGTTCTTCAGTGTCCACCTCAGCCTGGCTCCTGCAGATTTCTCCAGGCTTTCACTTGAGATATCAGCCAAACTGGTCTTCTCGCTGTTTTTTAACATGTCTGTCCCAAGTACTCCCATTTCTATGATTTTACCACTTCACCAACCCTGTCTGAAGGCTCAACTGCCTTTCCCTCTCTTCAATAGTTACCATTCTTTGTTGGAATTTTCCACTCTCGAAGGTCTAGTACAAGAATGACATTCACTCCTACATGATCTCTGTCCTCTGAATTCTGGAATTATTCATTGGAAAGTCTCTGCTTCCTTGTGTTATTATTTGCATTTTAAAGACAGTTTTGTGTCCTTGTATATAATAAGACCCTTTGGAAGCAGAGATTGAGCCTATACCTATTTATCTTATAACATCTAATGGAGGGCCTGGAAGACAGGTCCCTCAGAAAACACTCAGAAAGTGTGCTTTACAGATGATTATGCTGTTTTGTATATATTTTTTTCTTTAGAGCAGCATTTGGATGGTGATTCCTTGGATCTATCTTCATTTTCAGGTGTTTTGTAGCTATCACATTGAATTTCCATTGCTACCTCTGACATGAAAATACCATAGGTCTTTTTTTTCTGAATATGAAAAATGAGTTAATAGGTTTTGGTGAGGAGAAAAATGAAAATCACTTAATACTTTATTTTTTTGCCAAGACAAGGAAAATGCTTTTGATTCCCTCCTCTGCTTTTCATGTCAGAAAGTTCATGCACAGTGAATCATTCCCTTGTCACTTAAACTCTGAAGTGCAATATGATCATGGTAGGCAATGAAAACATGTATGTGAAGTCCCAGAGGCATAAAAATCCATGACTGGAAACTGATAAAAGATTGAAAGGACTGTTTTCTAAGAAAGCAAAGAGCTGACAGCTGATGCACAAAGGGTTTCTTCTGCACACCAGGGACCCTTACCTGATTCCTAATCTTCGTGCTGGCCATGGGAGTCAAATATTTATGTTCTAGATACCAGGCTCGCTCCTGGAACACCAGCTTGGTTCCATATAACAGACAAAACTAAGGCATGGGAGAAGAGGAGAGAAATGAACAAAAGGTAATATATTAGAAAATGTAAAGTCTAAGAGAAGGAAGAAAAATAGCATAATATTATATTTCATTAAATCATAAAAGTTAATACTGTCTCAATGTAGATGATCACATTTGGACGTGTGAAATATGTTTTTTTTTAAACTATCCTATAGAACACATAAAGCATATGTGAAAGTAATGAACTGTCATGTGGTCATTCCTCCAGTTCATATTAACTCATGGTCAATCTTGCTTCATCTGTAACCTCACCCTGTTCTCCCTTATCCCAGGTCATTTAGAAGCAAAGTCCATATATAGTATTTTTAAAAACATGCATGTAGTATTTTTGTTTGCTTTCCTTTTCAATTTATGAAAGAATATTCTAAATGTACATTCTGAATGTCATCTTGATTTCCATTGAGCCCGGTTTCATTAAACTTTCATAAAAATAGCATTCCTCATTTACATTTGTTTCAATATTTTTTCCTATTATACTCCTGAAACTTACCCACAGAACTCCTTCACGACATCAGCGGCATCAAGCAATACTAAATGAGTTTTCCTGTATCAAGCAGTAACTTTTTAATTAACTATTTATTTCATTTTTAATATTCAAACTTATTTATATCATATAAAAGCAGAGAGAAGAGTACAATGTACTTCCATGTCTCTATCATCCAGCTTCCACAACCATCCACTCATGGCCAATCTTGTTTTATCTCTCCCCCCACTTTCTGTATTATTGTGAAGCAAAGTTCAGTCATACTATTTTATCCATAGGCTTTCCATGTGTATCTCTGAAAGACTGTTTAGAAGTAAGATTACATAAAGTCCACCCAAGTGACAACGAGAAAACCCTCAATTCAGAGTCAAACGGAAATAATCTACGTGCCAGAAGACAATATGTTTTCTATGGCTCCTGAGAGTCAGAAATCACACAGTTTGAAGTCACATAGACTATATAGGCTCTTCCTTCTTTTCCTGAGGTTCGGGGACATCCTTGAACTAGCAGCATTATGGGGAGCCTCAATTATTCAGTCTTTCCCAGAAAGGGTCACAGTATGGCGTCATAGCTTGTCTATGAGAGATATTTAAGATTAATTATGGCTCTTTTATGACCTTGCCAACGTTCTGCTTGACTAGTGTAAGCTTCCTTTGGCCCTTTCATATAATGGCAGTAAAGACATTAGCTGACCCTACAGACATAGGCCAAAAAATACTGCCATACATCCTGAAAACATGAATTCTTACAAAAACAATAAATTGTATAGCTTTACATGGCTAAATTGTACCACAAGTCTCTAGGTGAACTTCATATATACTACAAAAATATTTATTGTGGATTCCTAGGGAAAGAAAGTTAATTCACATCACTCCTGGCTCTACAAACATATAAGGTTAGTGAGAAGATATCCAGAGCCACAGAATATAAGTATGTTTTGAAATAATCTAACTCATCTTCTCACTCAATCCAGAATCCTGTGTCAGCCAAGGTACAACCAAGAAACAGATGACATATTGACATTAGGATGATTTGAGAAGAGTTTAATAAATTATTTTCATAAAGGGGTGGGCAAGTTGTAGGAGAGCCACAAGGGATAGCACAGTACCCCAGAGCTAGTATGTCTGGAACTGCTACCAGCTTTGGGTTTCAAGGGAGGAGGGCAGGGAGTGGCTATGGATCCTGGAAGAGAGAGCTGTATAGACAGAGACATCTTAAGAGGATGTCTTCAGCCTTCAGCCTAGGAACACAGAAATCCAAGGTGAGCCTACAGGGAAGCAGGCAGGAATACCCTGACCTCATTGTGCTCCCCTCTCCAATCTCTAATGGGGCAACCAGATCCAGAGGTCAAGGATTCCACTGATATAGGTCCACTTCCTGGACCTGGAGCAGGGTGGAGAGCGGGAGAAGCCGATGGAGGATATCTGGCACAAATCCTTCTCTAACACACCTGACAGATGGTGGTCCCGCCTCTAGACTACTCCTGTCTGACTCAGGCCCAAGCCCGTTTGGTCCCACAGAGCTCGTAACAAGCCCTTGACTGCTGACACCATGGTCCAGCCCTGTTCTAGAATGCTGGCTCTAACCAGTCTCACACTGTGTTTCCTGACTACGTCTGCTCCTCCCTTCTGTTGACTCCTGAGTTGTCCTCCTATTGTCAGTTTGTGGCTCTTGTGTATCTAATGCTCAGGGACACTTTCCTGGCTTTGAACTTCTGCTTTTCTCCCTGAACACAGTCCAGACTCTCCTTAGGCAACCTTCTTTGCCTGTCCTGGTAAACACACATCTTGGTTCTCAACAGTTACCAGAATACCACATCTAGGTCCAGATACCATTGGCCTAGCCTCAGACCCTCAAATACAACCTGAGTATCCTTCCTTTGTGTTCCAGAGACAGGAGATCAGAGCATTAAGAGCCATCTGGCTCTCAAAGGAGTCTCACTGTTGGAAGAGCCATGGAACACTGAGCCACTTCTCTCTGTAGAATAACGAATTTATGGATTGTTCAGTCTATAGGAAAGTGATCTGGTCCTGCTCATCTCTGTATGCTTAAGGTCTGGCAAAGGAGCTGACACACTGCAAAAAACTGGCTGAAACACAATTTCCTATAACTCCTAGCTATTAACCTCATAACTTTGGCTGCCTAAGGAACAATGAAAAGCATCCAGATAACAGCCCTTAATAAATTTAAAGATCGGTTTCACAGCTCTGCTTAGTGTTTCTTTCTTCAAGATGATCAACCTTCACAGATCCCTATCTCTCGGCTACCACATGGTCTCCAGCCTTTGTGACCTGGGGGCCTCTTCTAGATGCTAATTCTCTCTCTCAAGGTGACTCACAGAAAACTTGAGCAGAGCACCCAAATATTCTCTCATTACTGTAGTGTCAGCAGCACCATCACTGTCCTGGACTGGGAGTCTACACTTTCATATGCAAGTTAAGACAGAATTTGCTTTCATGACAGCCACATAATATTTTTTGAATAAATGAAAGCATGTCATACATATTTGGTTTAACATCAAATGTTTGTTCACTTGACACTCCCAACTAAGTCTTTTTGCCCGTGAACTGTTTTCAACCAACACATACATACATATAAACATCCCTAAAAGATGATTTAAAATGTGTTCTTTTTTTAAAAAGATTTATTTATGAGAGAGAGAGAGTGCACTAGCTGGGGGAGGGGTAGAGGGAGAGGGAGAAGGAGGCTCCCTGACAGGAAGCCTGACACAGGGCTCTATCCCAGGACCCTGGGATCATGACCTGAGCCCAGGGCAGATGTTTAACCTACTGAACCACCCAGTCATCCCAAATTTATTCTTTAAAAAAACAAAGTTCTTTGATTCCTTATTCTTTTAAAGTATCATTTTGTTGATGTGATCTGTCTCGAGTTCCCAAAGTCTCTATGAATCTAGACTCAATACCCTGATATGTTTGTGTCATTTAAAAATTTGTCAAATCCCATCTATAGTTTTATGCAATGGAAACCAGCTGATAGGTCTAAGACTTCTGATTCAAGTATCTGAGAATCCATTTAATGTGATGTCCTCTAACTCATATTTCTCTGGCTTGTCTATAAGGATATCCTGAGAGACCACCAATTTCCCCATATTTTCTCTTCTAGTAACCTGATTAAGAAAGGAAAAGAGATTCATTTAGCAAGGATTAGCCATAGTGAACACAGATAGGGTCCTAGTGACTATCTCTTTTCTAATTCCTCGTAAGCTATTCTGAATACTCTTTTCTAGAATTTTAACTTGGATTTATGTCAATTTTAAATTCTATAGTTTCCCAACTCTACTTTTCCCCCCATTTTGAAAAAATGTGCACATTTGTTCATTTCTAACTTTCTGACATCTCTCTTTTGACCTTCTTGGTTTTCAACAGGGCAACTACAAGTTCTTCCCAATTCAGAAAGAAGATGGGAACATTATAGAGGATGAAGAGTTTTACTTTCTTTTCTCCTTTTTTTTTTTTTTTTTTTTTTTTTAGCACCAAAGCTTTCTTCCTCAAACCAGAAGCCTATTTCTTCAAACTCTGAATATAGGTAAAAATGGCCTTTCATCAGATTATTTGTCATGCCTCATGCTATGCTGGGATTTGGTCATTCTGACATTTATTAAATGCTATTCTTTTGTATTTATCCTCATACAAGCATCTCTCTCTCATCACTTCTTCTCATTGTTTATATATAGCTACCTCAGACCTGTGCATCAAGGAGCATACCCATACTCTTACCCTGGTTCTTAAAATGTTTCCCAAATCACAACCTTTTTTCTGTAACTACTGTATTGTCAGAATAATATTCTGCTGCTAGCCAATAAAAACTCTGGACACCAAAGTTTGGATACCATGGTTGGCAATGCTTTGCACATGTTGCCACACTGTTACATTGTTGGGAGAATTAAGTGTTGTTTATAAGGACTCCAGAAAAAGAAAACAACTGGAAGCCTTGTTGGTTTTTTTCTGGACTACACCCCCTGTACTTTTGTCCTCGACTGATTTTAATCTGTATCCTTTTGTGATGTATATGTAGATTTTATGTATCTGAGTCCTGTAAGTCCTTCTAGCAAATCATCAAAGGTTTGGGGGACCCCTGATATAGGCCCCATTTTACACATGAAGACAGAAAGGCTCAAGAAAATTGAATTACAGAGCCAGGGTTTTTCAGGATTCAAAGATATTTTTCAATCTCCCATAGTACCTTTACTTTTCAGGATTTAAAAAACTAAAACAGACAACTCTTTTGAAAAATAGAAGCCAAAGACTCTATTCTGGGTAAGATGAAGTAAAAGTCTCATCCAGTCTCTCCCACTGAATGTGGCCATTATTCAAGGACAGAGTGAATGCAAAAGCTATCTGAGAAATCTAAAAAATATACAGTAGCATGAAGATTGGGGAAGAGGTCCAGAATTCAAAGTACCACCAAATTGGTGGTGATGTTCATTTTTTTCCCTGGGCCTCAAGCTGCTTATTCCTGGAAGCAT